TGGGCAAAAGCATCAAAAGCTGCCCCCGCCCACGACCCCATCCCCTACTCTCCAGCAACACCACCACTTAGGCTAAATTAAGCTGAGTCTCCCTTTTTTTTTTTTTAGTGTATTTATTTATATTAATCTCTACATCCAACGTGGGGCTCGAACTCATGACCCCGAGATTAAGAATCGCACGCTCCACCAACCGAGCCACCCAGGCACCCCTTGAGCCGAGTCTTTTATTTACTTATTTATTTTTTAAAGATTTTATTTATCTGTAAGAGAGAGACAGCAAGAGAGGGAACACAGGCAGGGGGAGTGGGAGAGGGAGAAGCAGGCTTCCCGCCAAGCAGGGAGCCCTATGTGGGGCTCAATCCCAGGACCCCGGGATCATGACCTGAGCCGGCGGCAGACGCTTAACCAACTGAGCCACCCAGACGCCCTACTTTTTTATTTTTAAAAGATTTTATTTATCTGTAAGAGAGAGACAGCAAGAGAGGGAACACAGGCAGGGGGAGTGGGAGAGAGAGAAGCAGGCTTCCCGCTGAGCAGGGAGCCCGATGCGGGGCTCGATCCCAGGACCCTGGGATCATGACCTGAGCCGAAGGCAGACGCTTAACGACTGAGCCACCCAGGCGCCCCTTTTAATTTTTTTTTTTATTTGAGCTGAGTCTTTTAATGGAGGGCTTCTTTCTACCACTGACAGTTGCATATCCACCTGTCAAACCAGTTTCAAGGACTAAATCTACAGCACAGGTTTCAATGAGAACCAACAGTAAAGCATGTCCACCCTCTTTGATCCCCATTTGAGAACACCATGGCCACTGCCCCCACCGCTCCTTCCAACCCCCAACCTCAGGTGGCCAGAGGTGGCCTCATCCTTGGAGTCCCCTCCCCCCGCGGACATGTCACAAGAGGCGTTTCTTGGTGGGCAAAACGCCCCCTCCCCCCCACTGCCAGACTGACTCTCGTGGGCCAGGGGTCCAGGAGTGGGGAATGAGTCACTGGCAGGACCGGAGGGAGGGGAGCCAAGCTTCCCACACCGGGGCCAGTGTCGCGCCCTCTCCGACGCCTGTCTTGCAGAGCCCACATCTCCTCCCCACACAGCGTTCACGGGACTGGGAAGAGGAGCTGAGCCTTGGGTCCTTCCTGCAGTTTGGTCTGGAAGGGTCCCTGGCACAAGTCCCTCAGGAGAGCTGGGACCACAGGGCCTGCCACCAGGGGGTGGGGTGCACCCAGCCAGCCCCTCCTCCACCAGTGCCCACAGGTGGTCAGTCGGGCGGCTCTGAGGCAGCGTCTTCCACTCACAGTTTCCACCCCGCCTCCTCCCCAAGCTTCACTTCCCGTCCGCACACAACTGGCTTGCAGAGGAGGCCCTGCCCCACCGGGTTCATCCCATCTGCTCAGATGTCCTGGGTGGTCAGCAGGGCAGGGATCACGACTTCACAGATGAGGAAACAAACAAGCTCAGCAAGAACGAGTGCCTTCCCGGAGGCCACAGCACACGGCTGCCAGGGCTGGCCGGGAAGCGCACTCTGGCTACACAGGTCCCACGTGTGGCCTGCCGTCACCCCTTCCAGAACAGCTGCACACAGGCCCACCGGCGCTCATTCAGCCACGATCACCGTGTGCCCTCTGAGAGGCCGAGGAAGTGCAAAGAGGACGGACAGCATCTGTTCTCCCATTTCAGTGGGGGAGAGAGACCCTTGGCATGAAAACGAGCATGTGAGGTAACAGCAGACGACCACTAGTGCCCCGAGGAAAATAAGCAGGACCCCAGCGTCAGGGGCCGGCGGGCAGGGACACTATGTGAAACGGGAGCCAGGCAAGGCCCCTCTGAGCACTGGTTTGCGTTGTGCCTCCAAAGGCCTGGAACCCCCTACTCCAGATCATCTCACCTGCAGGGATCCCCAACACGTGACCTCAGGCAGGGCCTGATGGGGCCTCTCGCCCTCAGGCAGACATCCCCAGAGGCTCCCACCCAGCTGGGCCACCACTCCAGTCCGGGCCTGGCCCAGCTCTCCGCCCTGAATGGTCACCTGTGCTGGGCCCCTGATTCCTCTAGTTTGGGGATGCTCCTGCACCTCCTGGATGAGGCAACTTCTCCATCTCTATGATGAAAGAGCAGCCTCTGAATGACCTCTCCCCCAAATCAGACCGGCCAACTCTCCTCTTACCCTTGATCCCGGGGTCACATCACCACAGCAGGCCCCAGAATGACTCCTCCATCACCCTTCCACCAGGTCCACAGCTCGAATGACACTCCCCTGTGCCTTCCCATGGCTTCAAGACCAAGTCCGACACATCTCCCGCCCCTCCTCTAAGACCTACCAAGTCCTCCCCTCAGCCCCCAGCGAAGACCCTTTAGCCTCCCAACTGGGGAACCCCCTTGGCCCAACTTTCTGTACCGAGTTTCCTCTTCTACGGCCTGGCAAGGCTCCACGTTCCCCGGTCCCGAGCCAGGCAGCAACTCACTGTCCTCCCCAGGCACAGAGGCTAGCCACCTGCTCCTCAGCACTGACAGGCCCTCCAATTTCCTGTCCTGCAAATTCCACTGGCTAAACCCACCAACGTCACCCACGATCCCTCCCCTGCTTGGGGACCAAGATCCCCCAACTCCTTCACTGCCAGGCCAAGCCCTCGGCCCCTCTCCCCAGCCAAGACAGACCAACTCTGCCAGCCCGTAAACTGATTTCTCTTCTCCATGTCATCACCGCTCTACCTCAGACCCACTGACTCTGAAGTGTGAGTCCAGTCCCTGACCAGTCCCTGCCGTCCCTCTTTAAACTTCCAGAAATGAGAGACTCCCTGAGCCTGTAATGTGTTACCACCTCCCCCTACCCGGGGAAGACCAATCAGCAACTGTCCTCTCAGCTCCTCCCAGCCAGACTCCAAGTGACCCCTCTTTCTTGACATTCTTCCCTCCCCTCAAACTCCTTCACCCTCTGGGTAACAGCAGCTGCTATTTCTGTGGCAAGAATCGACAAGGACTATTTTATTTAATCCTCACAACTACCCGCAGTAGAAATTAGCACCTCCATTTGCAGAGAAAGAAACAGGAGATGCAGAGAGGAAAACAGCTTACTCAAAATCAAACAGCTGGTTACACACAGCTGTTCCTCTTCTGGGAACCTGCACACCAGAAACTTGCCCCCAGCCCCCAGACCCACCCCGTGCCAACTCCCCCCTGCCTCAACCATGGCCCTCCAGCCCACAAACTGTTCATCTTCCTTCCTGCTTGCCCGGGGCCCACAAACTGACCACCATCTCTGTCCCTCTCCTGAAGGCTTGGGAAGCAGAAACATCCAGGCCCCAAGCACATGAACCTCTAGACTGGCCCCTAAAATGACCAATATCACCCAACATCACCCGAAAATGACCAACACTAACTGCAACTTCATGAAAGCTCATCCTGGCCAATTACTTTTCATACACAACCATATTTAGTCCTCCCTTAAAGCCTTTGCAGGGGTATTACCACCCACTTCACAGTCGGGAAAACTGAGACGCTGAGGAGTTAGATAACCAGCCTGAGGTCATGAAGTGAGTAAATGGGAGTCAGGATTTGAACTGGAACCTCTGCTCTCCACCACCCTACTCTGCCTACCCAGGTCTTTCTTCCTTCCCGCTCTCAACTCCCTGGACTGGGTACCATGCTATAGCCAGGGCCCCCTATGACTCTTCCCCTCCCCAGCCCAAGTCCTCCAACCCCAAAGTGACACCTATCCCTGGGGTCCAGAGCCCAAGACGTGGCTGGCTCTCGATGCCAACAATCATAAATTGTCTCTATAACGAGAACTAGCCAAACTGGCATTTATGGCAAGCTACCTATGTGCTCAACTTCCAGTTACCATGTTTCCCACTCTCACAAAAAAGCCACAATTCCTCCACTGTCAGACTAGAGCAGTGCCTCCTCTTTCCTGGGGCCAAGTGACCAACATCTACTGAGCCGGGACCAGTCTGTGACTCCTCTTCGTGGGCTCCACCATGGCAAGACCAGCAGAGAAAGACTCAACGCTCAACTCATCTACTGAGTGACTTTCCAACTTTAGTCCTATAGGTAAAACACACACAGTCCTCCAGCTGCCCTTTCAGTTCCAACACACATCTGACCTTCAGGGGACCTAGAATCTGCAGACTTGCTCCCTCTCTCAACATCTCAGGCCAGCAAACTTCCTCAGGCCCTCACCTTCTACCGACCAACAACTCCCAATTCCCCAACTCTTTCTCAGGAAAAAAAGATTTTTTTAATTAAAAGAGACCCTTCTATACCCAGACCCCAAAGTTCCTCTGCTCCTTAATGACTGATAATGCTTTGTTTCCCTTTTGGGGAGAAGAGAAGGAGGCATGCAGTGACTTTTCTTCTTAATGTCAAGATCTAACACCTCTTCCGGCTATCTCACCCACCTCCAAAGTGACCATCAACTCTACTCCTTTCCTGGAAGGTTGTTTACTCCCTTTTCCCAACCCCAGGATTTACCAACTCCTCCGCAGCCACAGGCCAGGCTGGTTTATTCCTCTTCCTCCTTTCAGCCAAAAAAGTGAGCAACATGACTACCCCTTGTTCTGAGGTTTGCAGACCGGCAACTTAACCTCTTTCCATCCCTATGAGCCCATCAAACTCCACCTGCCCTTTGAACGCGAATGCTGATCCACTCTTCCTTCCCTGACTGCTCGCTTTATCCTTCGGGGGGGGGGAGGGGGAACGACTAGGAACTCAAAGGCTACCGCCCTACCGATCTCCCAAGCCTCCAAACTTTAACTGCTTATCGTTTTAATTCCTAAAACGACCACCTTCAGCGTCGGGGGGCGGGGGGGGGGGTGCGGATAAGCCAGCTACTTTTCACCTTCCCAACCCAACAGGCACGCCGTCTCTCACATCTTGCAGCTCGAAACTGACGACAGTCTCCTTAAATCCTCATTAGGTGCAACTTATTGAGCACCACCTCCGTGCCGGGCGCTGCACAGACTCCCGGTCCGCCACGAGCCCGCCCCCGCGCCCCGGGGGTAGCTACCGTGTCTCCAGGGGTCTTTGGGTTCCACCGCTCCAGACACGATATCCTCGTCGGAGGGGAACGTGACGCGCTTGGCCGCAGCCTTGAGGCGCCCGTCGGCGGGGGACGATGCGGGGCTGGGAGACCGGGCCTCGGCGGGGGCCTCCTCGGCGTCGCCGTCCGCGCCCGGCACGGGCGGCGCCTCCTGCGGCGGGATCTCCATCGCCGCCGCCGCCGCCTCCTCACGGGGGCCCCGGGGACATGTCCCGGGCCCCGGGCTCGTCTCTCCGGGCCCGCCCGCCGTCCCGGGGCATGGGCTCCGCCGCTGCTTCAGGCGCCGCCTCCGACCGCTCTCCTGGTCGTCGTAGTCGTCGCCGCCGGGAGCTCGAGCGCGCCTCCCCCGAGCCTCGCGCGCGCCTGCTCGTTCGCAGCCGCACTTTCGTTAAGAGCCCGTGAGCCCGTCGCGGACTGAGGAAAGCAGAAAATCAATTGAAGCTATTTGCGGGTAGGGTTGTCTCGCGGGTTGTTGAAACCGGTAACAAGAGGCAGAAAGAACCACGGGAAAAAGAAACGTGAGCACTGAATCTGCAGAGCCGGAACTGCAGAATACGAGGGGCGGGGCGAGGTGGACGCTGTCTCCCGGAGCAGCGCGCAAGCGCGAACCTGAGCCGCCCCCACCCGCCTCCCCGCCTCAATCTAGGTAACTAACGTTCAGACTCGCACACATTCGTCACGAGCTCGGGCAACGGAGAGGGGAATGGAGTTGATAAAAATAAAAACATCTGCTCGGCCGGGCTAGGCCAACTGATAAGAAGAGAGGCAAAGGGACAGAGAACTTGAAAGGAAAGGCGATATTAGCCGTACGGAATATATGAGTACAAGTGATGGATGCTGACAGACGGATCCTTCTGCCTGGAGACGAAGCCTGTGCCTCTCTGCTACTTACTCTCTAGCCCTCCATTTGCAGACAGCAGTTTCATCAATAGTTTTCTGTATTCGTTGCGTGAAATGCAATTTAAATTAAAAGACTAAAATAAATATGAGCCCATGAGGAGTATCATAGCCCTGATTAAAACAACAACAACTGGAAGGGGGAAGAAGTTCCAAAACCAAGAGACGAATCTGCCAACCAAAATAATCGGGCGATGGAGCGGGTAGATCACCAAGCCCGGAGGGAACCGGCACGAGCTCAAACCCCCGACCTCCCCTCAATTCAGTCGCTTAATATTCGCCTCCGCACTTTCGCCAGGCTTTCCTAGCACATCCCCAACTGGGGGTCGGGGGTGGGAGGCGGGGCTAAAACTAAAAGGGAGGGGGGATTCGGGGAGGAGCGAGCGACGTCGTTGCCAAGGCAACTCGGGAGCTAGGCCCCGGACTCGCTGGAGGCGGCGTCGCGAACGGACCTATGAGAGCCGAGGCTCTCCGCCTGCCCCGTTCAGCATCTCCAGCCGCCGCACTTTCGCGACTGCCGGTGAACAAAGCAAATCTCGTCTCTACTTACTGGGATCTTCACTTGCATTCCAAAGTTGATGGGACTACAAGGGGGGCAGCAATTACTGTTTTAAGGCGAATCTGACAGACAGCTGGTGACAGGGATAAGGGAAGCTAATGATATGGACGGTCACACAGCTTGGAGCGAAATGGGGAGAGGGTGAGGCTTCACCCCAACCCCTAGCCCTCAGCCTGGCCTCTGTGTCGCCGCCACACGGGGTCCGACCCCTTCCTGAGTGGCCGGGGAAGCGAACCGGCCGTCTCTAGAGTGAGGTCCTCACCGCTCTAGGGCCGGGCGCCCAGGTGACCCAGTGCGAGCCACGCCCCTGGCTGGGAACACTCCCGCCCACCCGAAAAAGAAATCGCGTCCAAATGTCTCAAACCCCGGCGTTCAGGTAGCTCCAGCCATTCCCGGACCAAGCCAGTCTCCACCTTTATCCGAGTTCCTTCCAGCCCCGTGATGTGTCCTCTTCTTGGCCCAGATCCACCAGATCCAGCCCTTGGCTAGCCACCCTTCCACTTCCTAAATCTGGCTCCATCCCTGTGTCGTACACTTTAAAAAATAAAAAACAGGAGGCGAATTTTCCTGGGATAATTGGTTCTTTAGTAGGAGGGGAGTATCTTCAGGGTGGCTGAACTTTGCAACTTCCAGAAACAATTTCCCACTCTGCGATTTGCCTTCCACCCCCCAACCCCCAGTCTTCAGGAACTGGCAAGTGGCCCGGTTTTAGAGTTTAGAGTTCTGTGAGGCAGAGCCTTCCTTTCCACGGGCTCTAGAACTCCTGGGGTTGCAGAATCTTACTGACTGCACCCTGGAGGTCCCAAGCAGCCAGAGGTGCTTGGAGCTTGGCTCAAAATTCCAAGGGCGTTCCAAACCGGGGCCCACGACCATGTGTGGAGGGCTGGGGCCCCGTGGCGAGGCCCAAAGCAGAAAGGTGAACATAGCAACATCTTTAGGGCTTGAAGCTGTACGCAATAATGTCACTGCACCGCAGCAGTGCTTCAGCCTGCACACCAATGGGCGTCTGCAGCTGCGACACGTAGAAGTTGGCCACGTCCAGGTCGGTGGCTCCGAAGTGGGCAGTCACGTGCACGCCCTCGTGCAATGTGAAGCTCACCTGGTGACCCACCATGGCCAGCAGGCTGCGGAGGTAGCGTTCCCGGAGTGCGGCTCGCGCCTGCTGTTCCTGGGATTCCCGAGATTCTGGAACTACGGCAGACCCCGGGGCTCCGGGACCCTCTGGCGTCAGGGGGGCCCTGCGTCCATCTGGGGCAAAGCCGCGGCTCAAGCCATCTGGGCCCCGGGGAAGCCGGAGCACAGGTACAGGAATGGTCAGCGGAGTCTGCATTGTCCTGGCTGGTGGGTGAAAAAAGCAAGAAGCCATTACACGGGGAGTGTGTGATGACAACAAGAGGCATCTGTCTACCCCACCTCAATTCGACTTGTCCAAAACCTGTGCCCTCCCTCCGCCAGTAACCCCCTCCCCAGGAGCTGCTACCACCATTCTCGAGGTCCACGAGAGCAAGAACTTTTGACTGCTTTTATCACTGTTTTATTCCTAGTCCCTGGCTATAAACACTCGCTGAAAAGAACAAACTCCAGCCTCCTCTCCTCTCTCACGCACAGCCTATCCAATCCAGAGGGAAATGCTCTCTCCTGAATACATTCCCAATCACACAGGAGCCGGCTTACAACGGCTTCCGGTGGCCAGCTCCGGAATGATGTGAACATTACAATAATGACAGTTACACAGGGCGCCTGGCTGGCTCAGTCAGTAGAGCATGTGATTCTTGATCTCGGGGTTGTAAGTTCAAGGCCCACTTTGGGTGTAGAGATAACTTAAAAATAAAATCTTAAGGGCGCCTGGGTGGCTCAGTCGTTAAGTGTCTGCCTTCGGCTCAGGTCATGATCCCAGGGTCCTGGGATCGAGCCCCACGTCAGGCTCCCTGCTCTGCGGGAAGCCTGCTTCTCCCTCTCCCACTCCCCCTGCTTGTGTTCCTGCTCTCACTATCTCTCTCTGTCAAATAAATAAATAAAATCTTAAAAAAAAAAAAAATCTTAAAAGAAATAAAATAAACAAAAAATGATAGATTATAACCCACTGAATAAAAGAGAAATCCATGAGTCCCTAGTAATGATAAATGAATAAAAGAGTAAATAAGTGAAGGAGCTAAAATCCAACGGACACTAAAATTTGTGAACGAGTGTTGGGTGAGGGCCAGCATATCCATAGTCTTTTTTTTTTTTTTAAAGATTTTATTTATTTATTTATTTGAGAGAGAGAATGAGATAGAGCATGAGAGGGGGGAGGGCCAGAGGGAGAAGCAGACTCCCTGCCTAGCAGGGAGCCCGATGCGGGACTCGATCCAGGGACTCCAGGATCATGACCTGAGCCGAAGGCAGTCGCTTAACCAACTGAGCCACCCAGGCGCCCCAGAATATCCATAGTCTTAAAGTACTTTCCCCCAAAACGTTTATTTGTCGTAAAGAGTAAACAGTAACTTTGTAATGGAGGAACCTGGTGGACACGACCTTAACTTGGGCATCAATGACATCATGTGCAGTGGTGGGACAAACAGGGACCCCATGTGCCCCTGAGGTGATACACTGAGGACGGGGCACCACTTCTGTGGTATTCCTGCCAAAAATGGATTACCTAAATCTCATCGTGAGGAAACTCAAATTGAGGGATATTGTATAAAAAAGAGCCTGATGGGCTCAGTCAGTCAAGCGTCTGCATTTGACTCAGGTCATGAGCTCAGGGTCCTGGGATCGAGTCCTGCATCGGGCTCCATGCTCATCGAGGAGTCTGCTTCTCCCTCTCATGCTCTCTACTCTCTCTCTCAAATAAATAAATAAAATCTTAAAAAAAAAAAAAGTGAGCCTGAGTTCTTCAAAAATATCAAGGTCATGGGGTGCCTGGCTGGCTCAGTCAGTAGAGCATATGACTTTTTTTTTTTTAAGATTTTATTTATTTATTTGACAGAGAGAGACACAGCGAGAGAGGGAACACAAGCAGGGGGAGTGGGAGAGGGAGAAGCAGGCTTCCCGCGGAGCAGGGAGCCCGACGCGTGGCTCGATCCCAGGACCCTGGGATCATGACCTGAGCCGAAGGCAGACACTTAACGACTGAGCCACCCAGGCGCCCCGAGCATATGACTCTTGATCGTGGGGTCCTGAGTTTGAGTCCCATATTGGGCACTCAGTTTACTTAAAAAAAAAAAAAATCAAGAGATGCCTGGGTGTCTCAGTTGGTTAAGCGTCTGTCTTCAGCTCAGGTCATGATCCCAGGGTCCTGGGATCGAGCCCTGCTCGGGTTCCCTGCTCAGTGGTGAGCCTGCTTCTCCCTCTGCCTCTCCTCCTGCTTGTGTTCTCTCTCCCTGTGACAAATAAACAAAATCTTTGAAGTGCATTCTCTTTACCCTTTAAAAAAAACAAGGTTGGGCGCCTGGGTGGCTCAGTTGGTTGGGCGACTGCCTTCGGCTCAGGTCATGATCCTGGAGTCCCTGGATCGAGTCCCGCATCGGGCTCCCTGGATCGAGTCCCGCATCGGGCTCCCTGCTCGGCAGGGAGTCTGCTTCTCCCTCTGACCCTCTTCCCTCTCATGCTCTCTGTCTCTCATTCTCTCTGTCTCAAATAAATAAATAAAATCTTTAAAAAAAAAAAAAAAAGAAAAGAAAATATTAAAAAAAAAAAAATCAAGGTCATAAAAGACAAAGAAAGCCTGAGGAGGAAAAACATATATAATTGACACTTGATCAACATGGGAGTTAGAGCGCTGACCCCATGCACTACTGAAAATCCAGGTATAACTTTTGATTCCCCAAAAACATAACTACTGGTAGCCTACTGTTGACTGGAAGCCTTACTGATAACATAAATAGTTGATTAACACATATTTCGTATGTTACATGTATCATATACTGTATTCTTACATTAAAGCAAGCTAGAGAAAAGCAAATTTTATGAAGAAAACCATAAGGAGGAGAAAATACATTTCCAGTACTGTACTGTATTTATGGAAAAAATCCGTGTATAAGTGGACCAATGCAGTTCAAACCTGTGTTGTTCAAGATCAAGTGTTGTTTTGTATTCCGAGCCTAACGCCTCTCTCTCCACTGCCCACATCTTGGTCCAGCCACTGTCGCTCTCTGCTTGGACAACTGAAGTCACGTCCTCCCTGGGCCCCTGGCTTCCACCTTCACTGTCCCCTTACCCCAAGTCCATCCCCACCCACACAGCCAGAGGGACCTGCTTAACACCTGACACCCACCATCTAACACCTGAGTCAGGTCACATCCCTCCTCTGCTGAGAGCGCTCCCCTGGCTTCCGCCCCGCCCAGAGTCAAAGCCAAAGTCCTTCCCACAGCCCTCAGCAGCCCTGAGGGCTCCAGACCCTGCCAGCACCTTCGTGGTCTGCCACGCTTCTCTCACTACCCCAGCCTCGCTGGCCTCCCTGTGGGTCTACAAGCGCACCTGGCACAGAAGTGCCTCTCACACCCTTGTGCTTGAGGTTCCCTCTGCTTGTATGTGCCGTCTGCCTTCTCTGGGCACGCCATGTTCAAGTTCCACCCCACGTCCCTTCCTGCCCTCCTCAGCTTCGTCGTTCTCTGTAGCACACGGTATTCTTCTGACATATGGTATATTTGTCATTCTGCTTATGCCCTTTGTCCCCTGCTAGATGCCCGCCTCCCCACGGGCAGCGGCCTCGCTTCTTGCCTTCGGCTGTATCTCCAGCTCCTGGAACCCTGTGTGGCAGGAACACAAAGACCCAGCCCCTTCAACACTGCTCCTGCTTGAACGAATGCAGTGGAGATTGAGCTCACAGGCCTGCTTCTCTGGGTGACCTCAGCGGGTTATCAGGATACGACAGGTTCCTGCAGGATGGGGGGACCTAGTTCACGGTAGCTTCTCTATAAAAGTTTAGTTACAATTGTTATTATTAGTATTGCTGTGCGACTGGGGTAAGTTGCTTAACTGGTCTGTGCCTCAGTTTCCCCATCTGTGAAATAGGCATGGTAAGAGGACCGACCCCACAGGGTCGGCCTGGCGACGAAATACACAAACAATCACAGTGTTGAGCACAGGCCTGGAACACACGAAGCGCCACGACCATGATGCTGGTTGCCTATAGGGAAGTGCTGGTTCTGTGAGCAAGAGAGTGGGAGAGGGAGAGAGGGACCCAAGTTTCAGGTGGCTGCACCCCTGTCTGTGGCTTAGTCCTCTCTCAAGTGATGATTTTAGGCAGTCGGTGTCCCATCCCTGGGCCACTCACCGTGCGGGGGAAATTAAGACGATCCTTTTCCTTGTTAGGCTCTCCCTGTCTCTGCAGCTCACCTGTGAGCTCCTTGCAAGAAAGGACCCTGCAGAGAAATGGGCCAAGGCAGCAGATGAGGGTTTCTTAACTTCAGCATTGTTGATATTTGGGGCGGGATCACTCTTTGTCCTGTTGTGGGGGGCTGTCGGGTGCAGAGCTGTAGGATTTTAGCAGCAGCCCTGGCCTCTGCCCACGAGACGCCTGTAGGATCTCCCACCCCGAGCTGTGACTCCCAAAATTGTCTCCCACTGGTGAATAGTATGGTATGAGAATTACATCTCAATAAAGCCTTCTTTTTTTTTCTTTTAAAGATTTATTTTTATTTTTTAAGATTTTTTTTTATTTAGTTATTTGAAAGAGACAGACACAGTGAGAGAGGGAACACAAGCAGGGGGAGAGGGAGAGGGAGAGGGAGAAGCAGGCTCCCTGCAGAACAGGGAGCCTGATGTGGGGCTCGATCCCAGGACCCTGGGATCATGACCTGAGCCGAAGGCAGACGCTTAACCGACTGAGCCATCCAGGCGCCCCTATTTATTTTTTATTTGAGAGAGAGCATGAGAGTGGATAGAGGGAGAGGGAGAAGCAGACTCCCCGCCGAGCAGGGAGCCTGATGCGGGACTCGATCCCAGGGCCCCAGGATCATGACCTGAGCCGAAGGCAGACGCTTAACTGACAGCCACCCAGGTGCCCGATTTTTTTTTTTAATATTTTATTTATTTAATTGACAGCGAGAGACACAGCAAGAGAGGGAACACAAGCAGGGGGAGCGGGAGAGGGAGAAGCAGGCTTCCCGCTGAGCAGGGAGCCCCATGTGGGACTCGATCCCAGGACCCTGAGATCATGACCTGAGCCGAAGGCAGATGCTTACCGACTGAGCCACCCAGGCGCCCCCCCCCCTTTTTTAAAGATTTTGCTTTTGGGGGGGACGCTTGCTTCTCCCTCTATCGCAGCTCCCCCTGCTTGTGCCCTCTCTGACAAATAAACAAAATCTTAAAAATAAATAAATAAACAAAAATAAAATTCAGTGGATACACTCTTAAGAAAGAGCTCTCCATATATGGGGGGAACAAAATAAAAACATCTCTAGTTGAGAACCACTAGTGTGGATAAACAGGTGGGGTGGGGGGGCGGGAAAAGATGGCTACTCAACTCCTGAACATATTCACAACCTCACAGAGAACCAGAGAAATGCAAATTAAAGCTACAATACTGTAAGATTCTTCACCTCCCAGATTAGGGAGGACTGAAGGCTGATGGATCATCGCGCTGGCCCAGCTGTGGAGAAACGTCTTCATGGCCCTTAGGACTAAGGGTGTCAATTAGGAGAGTGTCAAAGGGGGGCGGTTTGTATCCATGAAAACTGCAACCGTTCCTGGTCATTCAGCCCCTGAAGAAAGAGCCCAGGGCAGGGTACTTTTAACTGTCTACCTTTTTATGCCTTTTGCCGTCCATACTATTCAAAGTAATTTGTTTTCAAAGATTTTATTTTATTTAAGTCATCTCTACACCCAAACTGGGGCTGGAGCTCACAACCCCGAGATCCAGAATCACACAGTCTACTGACTGAGCCCGCCAGGCACCGCCCTCAAAGTAAATTTTAAATTCTAATTCAAGAAGGAAGGGGCATATTGTAATGCTCCCATGTCCCTTAAAAAATGTTAGATTCCGGGGGCGCCTGGGTGGCTCAGTTGTTAAGCGTCTGCCTTCGGCTCAGGTCATGGTCCCAGGGTCCTGGGATCGAGCCCCGCATTGGGCTCCCTGCTCCTTGGGAAGCCTGCTTCTCCCTCTCCCACTCCCGCTGCTTGTGTTCCCTCTCTCGCTGTATCTCTCACTGTCAAATAAATAAAATCTTAAAAAAAAAAAAAAAGTTAGATTCCGGGGTGCCTGGGTGGCTCAGCTGGTTAAGTGTCTGCCTTTGGCTCAGATCATAATTCCCAGGGTCCTGGGATGGAGCCCCTGCTCAGTGGGGAGCCTGCTTCTCCCTCTGCCCAGCCCCCCCTTGTGCCCTCTCTCGCTATCTATCTCTCTCAAATAAATAAATAAAATCTCTTTTTAAGGTGGCTCAGTTGGTTAAGCATCTGCTTTCGGCTCAGGTCATGATCCCTGGGTCTGGGATCGAGCCCCGCATCGGGCTCCCTGCTCAGCGGGGAGCCCGCTTCTCCTTCTCCCTCTGCCTGCCGCTCCCCCTGCTTGTGCTTGCTCTCTCTCTCTGTGTCAAATAAATAAATGCTTTAAAAAATAATAATAATAAATAAATAAAAGCTTCCACTGTTTAGTATTTGGAAATTAAAAAAATAATAATAAATTTTTTAAAATGTTAGATTCCTGGGGCGTCTGGCTGGCTCATTTGGTAGAGCGTGCGACTCTTGATCTCAGGGCGGTGTGTGGAGACTACTTAAAATAAAATTTAAAGAAATACAAATAGGGTGCCTGGGTGGCTCAGTCGTTAAGCGTCTGCCTTCGGCTCAGGTCATGATCCCAGGGCCCTGGGATCGAGCCCCACATCAGGATCCCTGCTCAGCGGGAAGCCTGCTTCTCCCTCTCCCACTCCCTCTGCTTCTGTTCCCTCTCTTGCTGTCTCTCTTTCTCTGTTGAAAAATAAATAAAAAAATCTTAAAAAAAAAAAAAAAAGAAATACAAATAAAAATGTTAGATTCCCCCTCGGGAATCTGAACTTCCTCTCCCATCCTTACCCACTCCCCAAACTTTCTGTCCCAGCCCAGGCCTTTCCTAGGGACTAGCTGTCCAGCCCTACAGATCAGACACCCCCACTGGTGGCCCAGATTGAATCCTTATTAGAAGTGAGCAAATGTTCTCTGTACAGGACCCGAAAGTAAATATTTTAGGCTTTGTGGGCCATAGGGTCTGTCACAACTACTCAACGCTACCATAGTATTAAGAAAGCAGCCATGGACAGATATGACAACGAACGTGGCCGTTCTCCTTACAACCCCACGTACCAGGACACTGCAATTTGAATTTTATATAATTTCATGCACCCACAAAGATTTCTTAAAGTTTCCAAGCACTTAAAAATGTAAGACCCACTCTTGGCTGGTGGGCCATACCAGACCAGGAGGCAGGCCATAGCTTACCCTGCGGCGGAGAGGATGAAGGTGTGGATTCGGGGAGCCCGGGGGGTTCTTAGCACCCCCAGATTCATTACCAGGGATCTGGGCAGGTCACTGCGAGTGACTCTAGAGCAGCCTCCCTGCTCTGGTTCCTCATCTATGAAATGACGAAGGAAGGAAAAAAAAAAAAAAAAGACCGCCTAGGTTTTCCGGGAGAAGGGAGAACCTTTCAGGGTGATCAGGCAAAAGACATCCCACAGTGTCCTGGACCCCTCCTCGCTTTCTCTGCCACCCATATTCAATCCATCAGTAAGGCCTGTCAACTCCACCTCCAAGTTGTATCCAGAACCCAGCAATTTTTCACCCCCTGCCCCACTCTGCCTCCTCCCTGGTCCGGCCACCATCCCCGGCCACCTGGACTATACCAGTCTCCTCCCCACTGGGTCCCCAGCTTCTAGCTTCACCCTACAGTCTGTTCCCTGCGCAGACAAAGCTGTCAGAGAGATCCTGTTAGAAGTAAGTCCCAGCACACCCCTCCTCTGCTCAGAGCCCTCCCATGGCTCCCACCTTCCCCAAGAGCAAAAAGCCCAAGTCCTCACAGGGGCTCCAAGACCCTATCATACCCTCTCTGACCTCCTATCCCGCGCCCCACCCCCTTGCCTCACTGCTCTAGTCCTTGAACATGGCAAGCACACTCTTGCCCGGAACCCTCTTCCAGATGGGGGACTTGCATATTTCCGGATCCATGGCTCACCTTCCTCCCTCACTGCACTCAGGTCGCTGCTCAAACATCGCCTTAACAGGGGGGAGACAGTAGCCCCTGCACCCTGCGTTCTCCTGTCCCCACGGTGCGACCCCCTCCTGACAATATGCACGTACTTTTTTACCTGTGTGTGGTTTGTGCTGCCACCGAACACAGGACTTTGAGAGAAAAGCCCTGTCCCATTATTTCACGACTCCACCCCCAGCCCCACCCAGAGCCAGGCAAGCAGGGGGAGCTCGGTAAATATTTGTGTGGAAGGAATGAAAAGATTCACCCATCCGCATTATCCAAGGGCCTGCCCAGTGCCCAGCCCACCTGGGGCGCTGCTAGGGACACAGCCGTGAGCGAACCACCCCAGTTCAGCGGCTGCCACAGACTTGTCTCCAGACCAGGCTGACTCAGAGTGGGCAGGGTTGGAAGGCTAGAGGCTGGGGGGCCCTGGTGCCCAGAGGGGCTGCCTGGCCCAGCCTGGGGGCGAGAGAGGGCTGGCCAGGAAGGCTGTCGTATTTGAGCACAGACCTAAATAGAATAAGGAACGGAGTCATGTAGAGATCTGGGGGAAAAGCCTTCCAGTCCATGGGAACAGCAAATGCAAAGCCCACGCAAGGAGGCCCGCATGGAGGAGGCGCGGGAGCAAGGCAGATGCTGCAGGGAGGGGCCTTGAAGACTGAGGTGAGGACGCGGCTCTCTACTCTGAAGGAGACGGGAGGGACTTGGATTTTCACATGATCCCTCTGCCTGCTGCGCGTGGGGACAGTGGACTGGGAGGGAAAGAGGGAGAAGCAGGGAGCCCCGTGAGGAAGCCACCGCAGTGGCCCAGGAGGGCAGGGGATGATGGTCCCTGGGACAGGCTGAGGGCCACGCAGGTGGGGACAAGTGGTCAGTTTAGGATTTATTTTGAAGGTTGACAGCCCTCACTATTTCCTGATGGACTGAGGGGAGAACCAAGGCAGACTCTCAGGGTCTTCCCTAATGGGGAAGACCACAGTAAATGGGCTTTATGGGATATATACATTTTCTTCTTTTCTTCTTTTGTGTTTTTATTTTAGTCCCAATTAGTTAATACACACTGTTAGTTTCAGGTGTACAATATACATTTTCTTTATTTGACCACTACCCCTGTGAATGGGATTCGGGGATATACACATTTGCTAACTTATCTGACCGCGGCAGTCCAAGCTCAGTCAAGAATCATCAGCCCCCCAGGGCTCTCAAGCAACCTAGGTTAACACTTGAGTGATTTAAAAGAAACACCCTAGTCTTTAGGGCTAGTACTGAATAAAGGATTGATGGAAATTAATCAAATGGCCACAAATGATGTTAAATCCCTGGATAAAACAAAAAAGTAAGGGTGGACCAGTGTGCAGACTTGCTTTCTCCGTTAGGGGAAAACAAACGGAGACTGGGGTCAGGCCACGTGATCCCCATTCTCCCCAAGGAGGAAACTGGAAACAGGGAAATGCCAAATCATTTACTGGGAGCACGCCGGCTGAGGGGACGGAAAAGGGAGCAAACCCAGGTGGGTCTGACAACGGACCCGGCCCATCACCCCTGCTCTCTGCAGGACAGACTTGTTTTCGTCCAGCACAGGGGGGCCACTGGAGGACTTGGAACCAAGGTGTGATCCGATAGGAAACCGGTTTAGGAAAGGTCCGACAGGGTGTGCCCAAGAAGGCAAAAGGAGGCATTATCCAAGCTCCCTGGTGACCAGGCTCCAGAATCCTTTATCTTTTCAATCTCCAAGCCAAGGATTTCCCGCGGGAAGATTGCAGAAAAATGCCCAAACCCATCCCCCACGACTTGAAAAACGACTTGCATAAAAACTCCAGAGCCCATCACTTGGGTGGTGGGCGCGAGGGCAGGAGATTCGCAGACCTCCCTTCTAGGGGCCTCGGGGCTGACCTCCAAGGAAATGGCAGTGAATCCGTTCAGCGGACACGCATTTAGCTAACCCTTCCGTTGCCAGGGCAGGGAACTAGCTGAGTTAGCAGGGTCACAGAGAAGACCCCAGACGCCGGCGGATGAACCAAGGTCCTGTTATGTCCACACAACAGCCCCCCGCCCCAAAGCTCCAGCACAGAGTCCTTCCCCTCCCCTGGGCCCCCTGGGCCGGTCAGTTTCCTTTCAATTCCGCCCTGGCCACCCCCCGCCAGCCTTTTCTTATACTAAGTAGGTCCTCCCGGCCCCCAGGCGTCCACTCCCGACTCCGCCCGGGCTGGGTGTCTTCCCGGCTCAGAGCCGGCCAGCGAGCCCGTCCCACCGAGGCGGGGCGTCAGGACCGCGGCCGTGGTCACTGTCCTGACCGTCGTCGCTATCATCTGCCCGAGCGGGGAGCACCGCGCGCTGCCCCGGCTCCTCACCCCGCCGACCCGGGCGCGGGGACGTCCCCGACCGGAGTCCCGGTGCCGGCGCTCGCGGCGGGGGGCGGGGGGGGTGGGATCCGAACGTCCCCCCCCGGCCCGCGTGGCAGGCGCGGACCTGCCCCTTTCCCGCCACTCCCGGCTTCGCGCGCGGGCGGGCGCCCGGGGGAGGGAACTGCCCTGCGCTCGCGCCCCGCCACCGACACCCCGCACTCACCGAGGTCCGCGGCGGCCGGCGCGCCCACTTCCGCCGGCGTCCCGGCTGCAGAGGCCCGGGCGGGCCGCGAGCCGCCCCGCCTGGGTTCCGCCCGCGCCGCCGCCCCACGTGGTGGCGGGCGGGCTCTGGGGCTCGGAAGCCGCCGCTGCCCGGGCGTCCCGCCCCGCCCCGCCCCGCCCCGCCCCGCCCCCCGCCTGGCCCCGCGCTGCCCCCGGAGCGGCCCGCCTGCGACGTGGGGCCTGTCCGGGGTGCCCGCTTTACGGAAGAAGAAACTGAGGCGCAGAGAGGGGGAAGACTTCCTCCGGCTGAGCTAAGCGCGGAGCTTGGTGTTTGCACCCCCACCCCCCCTACACGTGCACGCTCCTACCCTTCACCTGCAGGCCAAACCCCAGCTCCCTTCCCTGAAGCCCTGCGCAGCCAGGTTTCGGCAGGAAAGAGGTTGGAGGGAGCTGCAGCTGGGATGGACCCCGGGTGGTGGTTCTGTCTCGCAGGCCTCCCTGCAGCCCCCCACCCCCACCCCGTTTTACAAAGAAGGAAGCAGGCCTTGAAAGATGGACTGTCTGGCCTCAGACAGAATTCCCTTCTCCCACACTTTTTCAGTAAGGCAGAGGCTCCGTGGGCCTCCCCACCCCACCAGATCCCCAAGGCCCAGTGCCTGGCACACAGGCCCTCTGCGATATGTTGAAAGACCGGGCAGAGCAGGAGCTCAATAGACACTTGTTAACCTATGAACGAGCAGGGGCCCTGTGGACAAGGCTGGCTTGACTCCTGCCCTCTTAGAACCTACATTCTAGGAGGGCCGGGAGGGGCAGATACAGGGTCTCCATGTGCAAATACATCAACAAGATCCTTCAGGGCTTGTGATGAGTGATATAAAAAAGAATAAAATGAGGGTCATGGTGGTAGAGCTGGGGGAGCTTCTTTAATTGGGTGGCTGTGAAGAAGCCCCCTTAGGTTACAGATGGGGAAGCTGAGGGCCAGGAAAGAAGCGAGGACGGATGGAGGTTATGGTTGTGAGGCCTTCAGCAGGGTGGGGCTACATTAGATACAGTGGTCAGGGAGGTCCTCTGCTCGCCGGAGGACAATTGAGCTCAGCCCTGAATAACAATATGAGGAACCTTCTGGCCTGGAGCAGTACTCTGGGGAGATTAGCATGTGAAATTCACTCGGACTGGGGCTGGGGACAGCCCGGGAAGGACAGACCCTGGCCCAGACCTCAGGGGGCTTGTGTTGGGTAGGGGTGGGGAGGGAAGAGAGGATGGTCAACAAATAGTTCTATGTTATGGTGCGGTGGGTGCCAGGAAGAAAAAGAAACTCGTCAGGGTTGGAGGGTGGGGCAGGGTGTCGATGCCACTTCAAACAGCGATCAGAGTGAGCTGCTTTGTGGAGGGAAGTTCAAGGAGGCCCGAGTGGAGGGGGTAGTGAGACAGTTGCCTGTTTGGTTTTAATGGTGATTCCAGAGCAGAGGAGATCTATTTGATCACAACCCTCCCTGCCTTAAACCCCACCCTTCAAGGCTCCGGTCTCAGGAAACCAAGACCTTAAAGTGATCAAAAGACCCTCTTGGGTCTGACCTCATTTTCTCACAAAACTCAGTCACCCACGCCCATCCCCCTTCCTTGTTATTCTTGAACGCACAAGGCCGGCTGGCCCCCTCACCTCCCTCGGGTCTCAGTTCCACCATGCTCTGCCCTGGAGAAAGCTGACCCCCACCCCCCACCCCAGCAACCCTGTCCCTTTATAACCCCTCCTAGCTTTATTTTGCCCCATTGTACTTGTCATCCTGGGAGGCACTCTTTTAAGTTTTGCAGTTACCTTGTTGAGAGTCTCTCTCCCCAACAAACTGCGTGAGGCCGGGGATTATTTTCTGTCTTGTTCACTGCGGTACCCTCAGTGCTTAGAACAGAACCCAGTGCACAGTAAAGGCTCAATAAATGTTTGCCCACTGAATTTTTATAATGCATTTAATGAAATGGTCCCGATTACTCATAGGCGCCTAGCGAGAAACGTGGCCCCTACTGTTTTCGCTCTCGGGGGTGGGTGTGGGCACCCCGTGCCTCAGTTACTCCGGCCCTAAAACGGGATCAGGAATAGCTGTTCGTGTACGTGGTCGTGAGACCCGGACGTCATTAAGGTTTGGTCCCTAAGAAAATGCAGTGGGTTCGGCTTTGATCGAGTTTGGCTGCCGCCTGGGGCCCCTGCGGGGCCGCCCCGTCCTCTCCCGTCAGGCCCCGCCCCGGTGGGCGGAGCCACGGGCCGGGCCAGCACGTGTAAGAGTTCGCGGCGGGTCGCCGCAGTCACTCACCTGAGCGCCTCGGACTGAGCGCGCACGGCCCGCGCGTCCTCCGCCCGCCAGCCCGCCCGGCCGGCCGGCCCTCGACCCATGTCCCGCCGCAAGGCCGGCTGCACGCCTCGCCGAGTAGACCCCGCGCCCGCCTCCAACACAGACGACGAGATGGAGATGCCGGACCTCGTCATCGAAGTGAAGCCCGAGCCAGACGCGCGGCCCCTCCAGGCCCCGGGGCTGGGGCTCTTCTCCCCGAAGGAAGTGCCCGCGCCGGGGCGGTTCGAGGGCGAACCCCGCCACTCCCCCGACCCCGTGCCCGCCGGGAGCCCTCTCCACGCCCTGGGCGAGCGGAACCAGTGGGCGCTGTGGACGCCACTGATCGTCAACCCTCGCGGTGAGCGCCCCCTACCCCTGCCCCGCCTCTCTCCCCTTAACTCGGGGGGGTTGGGGGGGTACGTGGGACTCCTTCCTCCAGGCACCGACGCCTGGCCCCCGCCTTATTTCTGTTGCCTGGTCCTGGCCTCCAGCCCCCATTCTGACCTTCGGGTTTTCCCTCTCCCTCGGAACCCCCAGCCCCCATCCTGGCCCCACCCCACGCTTACCACCCGCTTCCTCCCAGCAGACCGCCAGCCCTGGACCGACAAACACCCAGATCTGTTGACCTGCGGCCGTTGCCTGCAGACCTTTCCGTTGGAGGCCATCACTGCTTTCATGGACCACAAGAAGGTGGACTGTCAGCTTTTCAGAGGCCCCAGCCCCTGCCAGGGCTCAGGTGAGTCAAGCCGGGATGCAGGCCCCCTCTCAAGTTCAAGGGCCCGGCTTCCTGTGGGAGAAGGGGCTGAGCTGGACAGGCGGGGCAGTGAGCATTACTTCCCTTTTCTCGCTCCCCATCGGGTGTAGCCTAGGCGTGGCCAGGGCCTGCCCTGTCCTAGGGCTGGGACTAGTGGTGAGGGGTGGGGGGGGTGGTAAGTGGGGGCGGGGCGGGGCCTGTAGGAGGGCCGCCCACAGGGTGTGGCCAGCCCCTGAAGACTGGTCTGGGGATTTGCCACACACACACACACACACACACACACACACCCAATCTGGTTTCACTTCTCCTTCCCCTTGGCCAGAAATAACTGGCCAGGTGGCCGGACCCTTGTGGCAGTAGGGGGACCTCTGGGGAGGGCAGCAACCTGGGGGAGGGGAAGCCGAGGCCAGCTGGAGGCGTGGCATGGCCACCCCGTCCCACCTCTTGATCACTTCTGATTGTGGCGCTGGGTGCATTTGCTCGGAGTCAGGGAAGGGGCCTCTGGCTTCCCTCTCTGATGGAATCTCCCAGCCCTGCACGCTGGGAAGCCCCTGGTTTGGGCCAGGTCGTGGGTGTCTGGACACCTGGGTTCCTTCTCTTGGGAGGTAATGAAAGCCCTTGACATGGTACTAAACTCATGGTGAACTCTTGGTCATCGCAGGCCGAGGCTCCTCCAAACCTGCACGTTTCCATCCCCTGGCCCATGAGTTCCTAGGATTTTTGAGAGATGGAATTACACTCAGGCCTGGGCTGGTGGGGGGGGGGGGGGGGAGGTCCCGTAGTGGGGGAGGGGAAGGAGGGACTGTGAATTAGCTGTAGACTCGAAGCCAGCAGGTTATCTGGTGGCCCAGGGAGGGGCCTTGATGGAATCACTGAACACTCCCAGGTGCTTGGACTTGGAGCAATGTGGGCACCTCAGCCACGTGGGCTCAGCTCATGTTTACGAGGGCTGACATGGACCAGAACTCTCAGTTCTTCTCCATCCGAGGTCACAACAGCCCTAAAAGGGAGAGGATCCCCAGGATCCCCGTATTCTGACAAATGAGAAAACTGAGGGCCAGAGAGGAGTGTTTCTCGCCCACACAGCTAGGGAGCCGGAGAACTAGTTGGAAGTCGGGCCAGGCTGACACTCTCCAGCCCCCGTCTGTGCTCCTGACCCTGGTGTTGCATCAGGAAAGCCACTCCCGTCCCAGACGGTCTAGAATTTGAAAAGTAAAGGCAAGTACTTCACCGATAGTACCTGGAGGGTCTAGAGAAAACATCCAATTTGGAGGGCTCTTAATTTGGGGTCTATGCCGAGGGAGGGGGACCTAACTCACTGCCCCACCCTGACCTCCAGGTGGCTGCTAAGCCTTCTCCCCACTTAGGCCTTGGCCCCCTCTTCTGTGAGGCAGGGAATAGGAAACCATGCGTGGAGCTCGTGAACTTGGAGCTTGGCACAGAAACCCACTCAGTAATCAAGCCAACAGTCTTTTTTGAAAATCTGTCTCGCACTCCCCAGGTTTCTGGATTGAAACCCCAACTCCACCCTTGCAAGCTTGTGACCTTGGAGAAGTGTGTCTGCCTCAGTTTTCCCATCTGGAAAACAGAACTCTTGTTTCTTGTCTAGGTGGGAAGCTCAGTGAGCAGGGGGCATGGCCCGGCGCCCAGCACCCAGAATTTGGTCTTGTCTTCCAGTAAGGCCTTCCTGACCCCCTCACCCCCAATAGAAAATAGCACTCCTCCCGTCGCTCACTCTGCTGTCCCTTTTTTCTGGAAGATTCTCAGACACACAGAATCCCCAGGTAGTCGTCGTCCACTCCACAGATTCTCCTTAACTTGTCTGTCTGCCCACTTCTGCACCTCGGCTCCTGAGGACAGGGAGTTTCTGCCTCCCTGCTGTGCGTTCTCAGTCCCCGCAAAAGGGCCTTTGCTGCAGAAGGCCACCAACTGGCAGGCGTGAGACTGCTGCTTTCGTGCATCTCCCTAACCCCCGGCCCTTCTCTCTGCAGAACGCAAGGACCCCAAGGCCTTGAGCTGCTTCCGCTGCGGGAGACAGTTCACAGGGGCCTGGAAACTGCTGCGC